TTCCCACGTGCGCCCCAACATCCAGACTTGGTCTCTCTTTGCAGCAGAAGAGGCAGTCCATGAGGAGGCGGCATTGGAGGATCTAACAGCGAACCGCAACAGCACCCGGGTGGTCCTGTGCACAATGCAAAAGCTGGCGAAATTGGATGAGGCCAAGCTGAGTTTTTCGCTGATGCAACCACCTTTGAGGCTCCCGCCTTGGGTCCGCGCCATCGGGACAAGTTCTGTGTCGAGTAGTGATTTTGGCAGGTACAGTGGATGTGGCCGTTGTTGTGTGGTGAATCTTGGTGAAAGTTGCTCTGGCGAATTGCGCCCAAGTTGTCAAGGATTCGACCATCGGGCCATATCTGCAAGTGTGGCTTGGATTGGGTACATCATTGGTTATGCAACCAAATGCAGGGCATTGTCTTTGTGGTGCTATGTAGTGTGCACAAAGAGTCCACAGGTTGTGCGTTTTGATGGCCATTTTCACATCAGAAGGTCAAAGATGTGCGACACTACGAAGGATTGGACAAGTATGCTGTTTTAGGTTTGCAAAAGTATCGGAGTACGAGCATCGTACTTCTCAGGAAGGCAGCTTGGCAGGCTGAATTTGGAGGAGCTACTCAAACTGTTGTCGAACTATTGCCCACAATCTCCAGTCCTGTCTCCTGGAACTCACCGTCTCAAAATAGCGGCCCAATAGTAGCGTACACAAGTAGCACCGTCACTCCTGCCAGAAGCCCAAACACTACTTGTGGTGCTGTTTGTCCTCCGCTGTTAGTCCCTTCTGCGTCATTAACATGTGCATGTGCTAGGGAAAGATTGTTGCGTAGCTCTACATATTGCTCCATTCCTCCCTGTTGGTGCACCTTGCGGCTTGCGCACACTGTGTGATAAAAGTCAAGATGGCCCATGTTCATCTGCTTTGTGCTAGGGTAGGGAATATAGTCGATACACCGAGGAGCTTTTATCAAATTAGCGTAATGAGGATTTTGCAAGCGTATTGCCTTCACCTTGGTTGATTCGATTGTTGGAGGTTGCGACGAGGGTATGCCATTGTGGACTCGCTTTGGTGAACTAGGCGTGTTTCGTTCGACCTTAGGGACTGTACGGCTGCGCAGTAGTAGTGTACATTGAATCAGCGGTTGACAGCGAACAATTTTGAGGAAGCTGCATCCCTGTGCGACAAGAGCCACTCGTCAAGAGAGAGCAGTGGCAATTTGGTATGATGGACAACGAAAGCGCATGCATGAAAAGAATCACGCCATCGCGGTGTGGCAGGTTTTTGTCATCGAATGGCATCTGTGGTGAGCGGCTTGCTGAAACTTCGATTTGCAGGTATGACCATCTGTGGTCAGGCGTGGCAACCACAGGCATCGCCGAAATCAAGCGACTGGCAAGTACTGTGGAAAGGAGAGTACTTAGGTACTTGGATCACCAGGACCAGAATGAGTGAGTATTGTGTCCATGTGCATAGACTTTATTCTACCCGCTGGCAGGAGAGGATATTATTTGGGTGTGTGAAATGACTGGTTACAGAACAGCTTGGTGTCCCGTCGATTCTTTGTGTCAACCGTTAGATGGCGTCTTAACAATTTATGTGTAGGGGCGCCCTGATAATATTGTCAGGACTATGATGGGTACGGCGCTGTTAAGATGCAGAGCACTGTTTGGGTTGGCTATCCACCGTGTAATGCATGAGGACGAGCGATGTGGATATCACAGTAGGAAGACAGGGCGTGGATGTTTAGGTATATAGAATAGAATGCTGGATTTGCGATGCGAATGCCATACAAGGCGGGTGAGTTTTGGGCGCACCACCTATGCTGAGAGGTTCTCAGCGACCTGGGAACACTGTCTCATTGCCGGAAGTGGTGGACAAGTGCTCGCCCACTGTGGTAAGGGCGCATTGCCGAACATGACCTTGAACCCAGTGCACATCTTGTAACTAGATTGCTCGACGTGGTGTTCAGTGCGACAAGGAGTGGGCTCTGCATACGCGCTTTCTCTTTCCTTGTCAACAAAAGAACGAAAACACCCTAGGGGATATCTGTCTTCAAGGACCAACAGTTTTTGAGAGATAACCTAACAGAAGATGTGGGAGCCAGCCACCCACTCCCACATGAACGTCAATTTGATGCCAAAGGTGACGAGATCTCAACAGTATCACTATTTAGATGACTTTCCATGTAGGCACGTACAACTTTTCACATTCTGCTGCCTTCCTAACAGTGGTGATGCAGAGAAGCCATATGATGCGGTATTGTGAACTTGTTTGCGCGCCCATCAGGGACAGCGTTACGTGGCCATTTCGCATTAATTGATTTGGGATGCGGGTGGCTTTCGACGGGCTGGGTTGGTTCGTCCACTTATTGGATAGGCTTGAGTTCTTTCCCCAACGCAACAAATGCGGAATTGCATTCTGGGATGCCTTTGTCCAAGATGCACGGCCTTGGTGGTTGCCCCTCCGTCGGCTGAATTCGTGCCTTTTTTGCGTGGAATTGTCCATTCTGCGCCCGAGTTTATACATAAAATTGGGTGCGGATTACTTGCGGGTGCTTCTTTACTGTTCAAGCTGACTGTGGTTTTGTTGCCCATCGGTCATGTCGATTCTGTTCCTCCTGACCGCGACCGCATTTCAGTCAATTTCCCACGTATGTGTGGCCACGCCCGCATTTCGCAAGTAACTGAGCGCCTTGTGCAACTGAGGCGGGCCTGGAGACAACTGAGGAAATTCCGACGGGCTTGGGGCCGTAGTTGTCTTCTTGCACCATGTTAGAGTGCTTGGGATGGGCAGGTGCGTGGCACCCTATGGTTTTGGAGCAGCCATGTTCCACAGGCCCGCACGCGTGTGATTCTTGAATTGTTCTCTCTTCTTTTCCGCTGGTTCTGCCGGTTCTCTCTTTTGGCCCACGCTCATAGTGCATCCTGCCTTTTCCTTGCGGCTGTTGCCCGTTGCCATTGTTCTCTGATCTGCCTGGCTTCCCTTCCGTGGGGTTTGCTTTGGGCCGTTCGACTGTCTGTGTCTGTACTTTTTTTCTCCTTGCCTTTTGGTTTCCTTTGTGTCTGGATGCCGAGCATTTGAAACAATGTTTGGGTGCGGTGCGTGTCCATCATCCCCAGTGAAGTGAAAGGATTTATTTTTGTCACATGCGGACAGATACAACCCAAGGAATTCGCTAACATGCGTCATTTTCGGTGTTCCGTGCCAATGATGCATTTTTATGCATTCTACGCGTAATAGTGTGTAAAAATGGAAGGCGATATTTGCACACAGTTGCGCATACTTGTGCGTGAGTAGGACTCTGCACCCACAGCTGCACTCAGAGATTAGGATTCTGCTGATGCGCAACTGCGCACAAGTATGGCTTGCTGCTTCGTGATTAGCCTACTCATGAATTACAAGCCATACTTGTGCACAATTGGGCATCAGCAGAATCCTAATCTCTGAGTGCAGCTGTGGGTGCAGAGAATACAACGTTGTTCGCACTAATTCTCACATGAATGTGGGCCCCATAATGTGGGCTCAGGCGCTGAATACAATGTGTCACGGGATATTGACGAAGGCAGGCAGGGTCGAGGGGTGGCGATCCCTGAACGGGAATCGTACGCTCAAGTCCACGGCAACGGTTTACAGCCGAGGCAAAAGGACAACAGACGCTCTGTCCTTTATACCCAGTCCGTTCATCAACATCCTTAATGTAATTCCTAGTGCTTCGTCATCTTTTCATACATTCAGTTATTTATAACACTCAATCAGTTCTAGCCGTAACAATATCACTCTGTCAGTTTTGGTTTGAGACTCAGGATACACTGACTACAGAAAGGCTAGGGGAGTCATGAAATAGGGTGGGCGAGTGATTGGATACTATCATGCCATCGTGGCGTCCTGACGGTGCCTGTCGAGGTTCCCGTGGCGTGCGTTGGCGTCCGCTAACGAGGGCCCACGCAAGCTGCCTCGGGCCACCAGAGCATATCATTACCCCGGCGTTGGTTTGCAGCTCTGCAAAGACGCGCACCCATACCGCTGCGCTCTAGCGGACAGACGCGACTCTGCCAGTTTTCTGGCATTGAAGGCGCCGTGTGGAAGACGCCAGGAGCACTGGCCACAGAGCGGCTCCAGGTGAGGCTGTCCCAAGCCAGCGGCTCTAAGTGCGCCGGACACAACCGCGGTTGCGACCTCGGTCGCCGTTAGGAGCCGGCCAGCGGTCGAGACTTAAGGGCTTGCACAATTGTGTCGCTGCCTGCGTCGCAAGAGCTTGGAAGCTCCGTTGGGTTGCATCCCAGCGGTCTTCGGTTTTGGTGGCGCGTGAGCGCCCCCACCAGCCGTTTCCGGCATCCCAAGCGTTTGGCATTTCCAAGACCGTGCAGCCACGGTCCCATAGGTGCCTTCAGAATGAGAGAGCACAGCACTGGTTACGTTGTGAGGTACCTGCAATCGAGCTTTGTGTTGCCTAGCACGCGGCCATCTTGTGCATGTCCAGCAGTGTGTTGTTGAAAGGCGGTCGCTTTCTCTAGCTGCGTCGTCCCGGTTCGCTCGCTTTTGCTCACGACAGGGATGACCTTGTCTGCAGGTGCGTGACAAGATGAAGCCCTTCCCGGCCATCCTCCTTCTTGTGGCGGCCGTCGCGGTAAGTTTCTAGCTCCCCCTTCTGAGCCCCGCCCGAAGGGTGGCAACGCGCGTCCGCAGCTGGGTGCGCTTCCAGCGGACCGGTGGTTGGCTTGCAAGTCGGGCTGGATGGCAGTGTGAGGGGTGGTGTGACTTGCCCTGTTGGACTGCTCTCGCAGTTTGTTGACGGGATGGCCGTGGACGCCAAGACCGTGCAAGGTACGGCTCCCTTCGGTTTTCCTCTGCTTAAGCAAGCCAGGGGCGCGTGCGCACGATCCTTCCACCGCGCCCCTGGACGTAATGCTTGGCAAAGTAGACGGTGCATTTCGGGTGATCCAAGTCTGAGCAGAATTTGTTGACTGCAGGCAGCATTGCGACGGGTGGCAGTTCTCACATCGATGCGACAAGCATGAACTCGTCAGCAGTGGCCGCGGGCAGCATCGCGTACACAGTGGCATTGGCAGAATGGCTCAAGGAACGGGGAAGGACAGGGACGGACGATGGACAACCCAAAGCGATGGTGGGAACTGTCAGCCTTGGTATTTACGCAGTAAACACAAATCGTATTTACGTTTTTGCGTGTAAAATAGCTTTACGTTTTTACGAATAAAAATGAGTAAAAATACGCGAATACAGTCCCGTGTACATAAGGACAGTACACACAGTCATAGGAAGTCCGGGAAGCGGCAGGCAGATGCGCTGGAATGGGCAGAAAGCGAACTTTTGTTGCATGCCGTCGTTGTCCTTGCCGAGGGCGAGGTGGACACTGTGTTGCGGGTGCTGGATGGCAGATGACTGGTCATTGTACGCAACTTTTTCGTGCAACCTGGGTGTCCCAGCGAGCCCTGAAAACGTAAGAATATCCGTAAAATGGCCCCTTCCGCAAATTTTTACGTTTTTAAGCGCAAAAACCCAGTGGGGTGTTGCGAATTTCGATTCATATGCTTGCGAATGCGCCACATTTCTTTGGTCGAGTAATCTGGTGACTACAATGAATTCAAAAGTTCAGATGCATGTTTAGACTTAAAGTGACCGGTTCCATGATTTAGTTGTAAATCATTACTCTGAAGACCTCCGAGGGGGCGAATAAATCAGGTGGACCAGCCAGAATTGGGAATGAAGCAATATTGCAAGGCGAAGATGAGGATCTCGGATGGGGCTCGCAGAAGGCAATTGCACAGCTCTGCTGGATAGCCACACCCACGTAAAACTCTCTTTTGACCGTACCTTGTTCTCGCACCAGGGCACGCCGTACTCCAGCAGGGTGTTTGTCATGGTGGTGAGCCAGGCCGTCCATGCGGCCACCAGGAAGCATGATGGCAAACTCACACCGTTAGCCATGGCCAAAATCCACCATGCTGGATTGGCGGTGAAGGCGAAGGCGATGGTGGCCATGGCATTTCTGTGGATGAAGCTGACACTGTACTCCACCGCCTTGCTGGTATTCATCATCAGCATTGAGAGAGCTCCTGGGGAGATCAGAGCAGCGTGGATGGTGGTCGACCGCGCTATGGAGAGTAAGTTTCATTCGCATCTCCCCCTCGTTTCATTGGAATGTGCAGCTTGGGAAATACCACGGTCAATCCGGCTGAAATTGGGCCAAGCAACTACTTGCAATGTGTAAAATTGCATGTGAAAACACCTGGTATCAATAAAAAGCTCTACAATGGACTGTCGAATTAAGGATGCAAAGTCTCCTGTTGTGAGTGGGTAATCATACGTAGGAGTAAGGAGGCAAGCTTGCCTCCTCAATTAAGTAGGCAATCACGGATCGGATTAAGGAGTCGCGCCTGTGAGGTGTTGTATTCGTTCAATGCATTGAGCTCAGTTAAATAATGCTGTCTTCGCTCCTCTCATGCAGAGTACCAAATCCGGGTGGAGGAGAAGCGACAAATCTGGGAAGCCAAGAGAGCTGCCCAAATGTACCAGCACTGGGTCGAGCTTGGGGAGATTTGAAGTGTTGGCGAGTTGGTCGTGCGGCCCGAGCACTCACGCGAAGTGTGGTGTTCCAGAAGACAAGAGGAGGACGGAGCCGCTCGAAAACGTTGCAAGAAGGCGGAAAAGCCATCAAGGAAGGCAAGCAGCCAGCGATGCAATAACTTTGGCTGGCTGCAAAATATGATTTTTGAAGTGATAGCGGGCAATGGCGGCAGCCTTGGGCGCTGCTAGTTGAGACTTGGGCGGGTCCAGAAGATCTCAGGCAGGCGCCGTTGCTTCGCTGGACAGGGCACGAATTCGTAGTTTGAATTCGCCAATTTTGAAATTGGGAGTTGCGCCGCCGATTCTTCGGCAGATTTGTTCCGCAGATCGACACCCACCTGTAAACGGACACCTCCACTCAGTGCGGCAAGTGCGCTGGGTATCTCAGCTGACGCAATGGCCACTCCGCTTCTCCAGCCTCGCTCCACAACCCATTTTCAAAGTTCGTCATGGGCGCGCCCCCATCCGTCTCGCAATGCTTCGTTCCCATCGCCTGCACGTGGCCTGGGCTGCCTGCTGGCATTGGCACCGTGTGCTCTCCACTGAACAGACTACGATGCGGAGACTACCCTCCGTGTGGTCCTTCAGGCGCGCATGGCGCAGCCATGGTGCAGTGTGTAGTACATTGAGCGGACGAAATGCAATTGTTATCGGGGATCTCCGGACACACCCAAACTCTCCCGCAAAAGAAACCCAGGCCCGTTCCACCGTTCCGCATGTGCTGTGGCAACCATCCGAGCATTTCCCAGACACAGTCAAGCTGTACGAGTGCTCCGCACACGCCTTTCCAACTCTCCACTAATCCCCGGACATCCGGGAAATTAATGTGTCCATGCATACCCCTGTCACATCGGAGGCCTCGGGCGCTCTGGACGCGTCCAAGCGCCTTCGGGCTCCCTGGCAGTGTTCGAGGGAAGCGCGGATCCGTGTGAGGCCTGGAAAGACTATCAATGGCCTCTGGGACACGTCTGCGCACTGCACGAACGCGCTCAGCATCCGCTTCCCCGTAGTGTAATTCTCACGCATCCAGCGCAAGCCTCCACAATCAATCAGCGCATCGTCATCCTAGTTCTAACGATCCTTGTAAGAAGTATCATCTATATGGTTGTCCTATAAGCGCAAGTATCACCTGCCCACCAGCGGGCAGTGCACTTCCCCCCACGTGCTGGGCACTACAACCTGTTGCAGCAGTGCTGTAGCCAGATGGCAAAGACATTTTTCTCTTGTTTTCCTGAGGGGGGTTTCTTTGGGTTCGATGGCAGTTATGACCGCCTTTGAAATAGGAACATTTTTAAATGGTGATCCAATTTGGAGGGGCGTTGTCGGTGGCTTAAGCGGCCCTGGACGTGCCCCTCTCACACTGGATTCTCACGTGCGAATCCTGTTGGTTTGTTTGTTTCAGAGAAATCCCGGAACAGGCTGCCATCCCCATGCTCGGCGTTGCATCGGGTGCAGCAGATCAATGAAGGAACTGGCTGTATGGCAGTATTCATTGGTATCGCAAACATAATAGCAATACGCGCCTATTCTGCTACTCAGCGCGGCACCAACTCAGGAGTCTGCTGCCCCGTTGTATGCTTTTGCGCACGGTGCACTTATTTCTCGGTCTTTGGCTTCCCTGTACTGGGCGGTGTTTTCATGAATTTTGATGGTTTGCGTGATATATTTTTCTCATAGTTTCTCTGCGGTTTTCTGTATGAACTGGATCAGGACAACAAAGGAAAAGATTGCTTGAATGTGGTCTGACGCCTGCAAGACTGTGTGTGCGCCATCTCCTCCATGGCGCAAATGCAGGTACTTGCTGTGAATGAACACACATGATCTAGAAAATGCATGATGCTCTTAAATGACCTTCTTTTCGTTTTCTCTTTCTTGCTTGATCTGCTTTGAGCAGAACCATATTACCAATATCAAATGATATTAAGTCAGTATCAGATTCTCTTTTCAATGGTAGAACTTCCAAAACAGAAAAGTGACAACGCAGCTCGTGTGCTCTAAGTCAAATCCTTGTCAGGTTGCAGCTGATTTTTATATTGAGAATCGATGATCCATAAGGTTTCGGTCTTTAATAATTGGTGCTTTGAGCCCTCCGTGCGCTTTGCTGGGATGCTTATCATTCTCTCACTCTGTTTTCCAGTATGCGTCAGAGAACGCGAACATTTAAACCAACATCTTCGTGCGGTATTTTGCCCACCATTTCCTGTAACATAAAAAGTTCTGTGTTTCGCCTTGGGTGGGAAATATTGCCAAATAATTCACATGTGCACTTCGGCCTTAACGCAGCAATAGAGACACTGCACACCGGCTAGCCCAGTCCACCTGTGGCATAGGAGTCTCCTCTATGATTAAATTCACGAAAGCGCCGCCACACAGATGTGTGGCGTCAGTCACAAATATCCTACTGTCATGTGGGACCATCTGCTGTATAGTATTGATGGAATGCTGCTCCAACCCGCATTGATGTCCATGTAGCGACAGTCAAGCAGCAGTGGTGTTGGCATGCCGGCTTTGACCAATGATGCACGAATATTGCCGCGACGATTGCCAGCAGTATGCCAATGACTCAGTTGCGTCAAGGACCATCAAACCTGCAGCAAGATCGCTCAGATTTACAGATGGCGACGGCAGGTAATAAAGAACCTCAGCCTCGTAGAGACGTCCACAGAGTGCGCGAAGAGCAAGTCCGCATCCATGTAACAGCACAAGTTCCGGTCGCAGAGTGCCATACCCCAAGTGTAAGCTTCGTCGACTCCCTTCTTCATTCTTCCCTGCGACTGCAACGCCTCCGCGGTCGAGCTGGAGTGGAGCGCGCCTACAGGCCCATGGTGTGTGACTGCTGGTAGCCTGCAGCAATTCGCTGCCACTGCGAACCGCATCTGCGCGCCCCTTTTCCTGCGAGGGGAGTGGGCTCCCCCCAATGGCGTGACCCTTGCGAGCTCGCTTGCTCTTGTTGGTGGTCTGAAGGCGAAGGAACTCTTCCCTGATAGATGGACCTCATGGCCTCATGCGCCCCATGTGGACGGGATAGTGTGCAGGCTCGCTATTTACGCCGTAAACACAGGTCGCATTTGCGTTTAACGCGTAAGAATAGTATATACGCTATTACGTGTGAAAATGCGCAAAAAATACGTAAACATAACGTAAGTCCCCGCCCGTGTACATAAAGACAATATACAAAGAGTCAGGGAGTCCGGGGAGTGGCAGCCAGAAGTATTCCCTGGGCAACGCGGTGGGAGAGGGCATAGTTCAACCTACCGCAAGCTGCACCGCGGCCCGGGTCCAGGCGATCGATATTTCACCTAATTCTGATTGCATAGAAAGCTATGTACGATTGAAAACGCGATACGAATAATTGGAGTATTGATTAACGAACGGAAAGGCCATGCGATTTCAGGTTGTGGTGAAAAAGGGAGCGGGGGTGCCACTTGGAAATTTTGCAACTTGAATTGATTATTGCAGTTGATTTTGAAAGTCAACTCCCATTCAGACCATTTGCTTATTTTGCCATTGAGATGGCAACACTGCTCACCAACTCTGGAACAACTTTCAATGCGACTTTCAATGCAATTTTTGATGTGTCATTGAGGGATGTGCGACTTTTCAACAAGCACTGATGTCACTGGGTAGAAAATTCTGTCGCCGAACTGAGCATGGGTGGCAGCATGTCACTATTGGAAATGGCCAGCCGGATCGAAGAAAAAGTTTGCGAAGACGATAAATCTGAGTCTTGCAAACTACAGGGGATATGGTGGTGCCAAAATTGCGGAACTGGAAGGCCTGACCCAGCTAAAACATCAGGAGCTGTGCAGGCATCAGCTGTGTGATCAGGATTTGCTGTATTTGGGACATTTGGCAGCTGTTAGCAAGCGCAGAACTTCTGACACAGAGCACCCTCTGCTTACAAGCATAGCAGAAGAAGAGCGGGCCTATGGGCACATTTAATGCCTTCAAGCAGCTGTATCTCAACAATTGCTGACAAATATATGACAAAGACTTGGGTCGTTTGGAGCAGTACACGGAGATTGAGCACTTGAGCATTCGAAATTGCTGCAATATCACAAGTGCTGTCCTCGAACATGTGGGAAACTGACAGCCCTCACGCATCTGGGCATGTCATCCGAATATGACCTCGAGGTCATATTGTACTACATAGGCATATCGAGATCACCCCCGAGCTCGGGAGTGATCTCGATATGCCTATGTAGTACATAGGAGCTACAATTCCGATGAGGTCTTGAAGCATGTGGGGCAGTTGCGGTGCCTGAGGCGCTTGTCACTGGGGAATCGTAGACTGCTATCCGACTTGGGTTGAGACAACTTGACTTCTGCATAGTCCTGAAGTATCTAGATATCAGCAACTGTTCTTGGATTACAGATCGAGGCTACTTGCATATGGCAAAGTTAACGATCGTCTCACACCTGGGTGTTTCTTCGGACGACTAATATAATGATGAAATGTGTTTGAACATCACGATTCAGTGCGTTATTAAACACATACCGGAACTTGCGGAGCTGAAGCACCTTCGCTGAAGTGGTGCTCGATCTTTCAGATGCCGGTATAGGGTGTGGTAGTTCAGGTGTTGTGATGACATGCACAGTTCTTGAGTATATGGATCTGAGGTGCTCAGAATATCCAACAGACTTCGGTCTTCGAACAGGTGCGGCAGCTGAAGAACCTCACTTGCCTGCTTCTGCAGTACTGTCAGAACAACTGAATATGGAGTGGAGCGCATCACCACGATATCGAATTTTAGAAAGTTGGATCTAGAACGCAACAGAATGATATTTGATGAGAGATGGAGGAACGCGGGCAGGTGCACAAGTCTTCGGTATCTGCGGTTTTGCGGACTCGACAAGATCACAGATATGGGCCTGCATCATGCGCGGAGATTAGATCTTTTGGAATCTCTATGAGCTGGGTACTGGAAGCAAGCAACTGAGGCCGAATTGAAGCACATCGGAGCGACGGTAGGTCTTCGATGTTTGGGCTTGTGCACATGCCCTAGGGTCACCTAATGTCAATGCAAGCGTGATGCATTTGCCACAAGCGTTCCCACGGGAAAGCTTGAGGGCCTTGAAATTTTGAATTTGCGTGATCTCGCATGAATTACGAACGATGGTTTGGTGCATTTGGAGAATTTGACAACACTGAAATGTTTGACAGTGGATTGCTCCAGCGTATGTACTAGTGCGGAGAAGAAGTTGAGGATGTCCCTCATTTCGTCAAAGAGACATCTTGGTTGAACAATCATTACATTGGGGGCAGCAATATTGAGACGAATGGTTCGTGCGCGAGTGTAAGAGATGTGAAAGGATGTGAAATTATTGATTTTTTAATACTTCCAGCAGCGCAGCTTGACAATTACGTACTTCTCCTTGTTGAGGAATGGCTTGCGGAATCAAACATTGGATATTTTCTCTAAGTCAACAACGAGAAATTCAACGAAAAAACACCTCAGTATTTTCAGAGTTAGGTACGGCATGATGGATTCCTAGTTAGTACACGACCGGTTTTGTGTAGCTCCAGCAGGTGCCAATAACCATCATACGACACAACAAAGAATAAACAACTGATGTAAATATCCAAGTCACACGTTTTAATGCATGTATGAGTTAAAAAGAGGTGGAAATTCAAGAACATCAGGGACTCCAAGGGAAACCACTCAACCTTCTAATGTTGACAAGTGTCGTAGCTTGTTCGTTGATGCTATTGCCCCAAGCTTGGGCGGAGCGTTCGCGGTTCTGGTGGGGCTGGAAGCGACGAACTGAAATGTGGACTAGGCAGAACATGATAGCCTTGATCTAAGTCATGCTATGGCTGAAAATTATGCGGTTTATGATACGTAATTCAGGAGAAAAGATGGGTTGGAAAGGTCAGCATGCCTTCTCATAATCAGTCATACCCAACGGATCGAAAACGTTATTAAATTTTTCAATTTTGACATCTCGAAAACTTGGACCGTTTTCCGGAATGTTATTTGCTGATTTCCCTTCGCCCGAAGTCATTTGGATGGTCATTATTGTATTACTAGACCGCTTTGTTGTCTTACACTTCTGAAAAACTGTTCAATAGCGTCACTGCCAGCGACTCACTGACAATGTAACTTCTCCAGTCTTGCTTCCAATCACTTCTTCCAATGATTCTCGATATTTCGTTGACTTGAAATATTTGATTGTCCCAAATACCTGCCGGAGTATATGTTGCAGCAGACTCTCATACACGATAACCAATGTCTTGTAGATTTCTGGTACAAATGACAGCATGTATTGAACTATTGCAGTTTTGGATTCACGGAGGAGCAGCAAAATATTTCGATACCGCCATTTCGTGCTGTAGTGTCAATGAAACTGTTTCAATGCGGTGACCATATTCGCAGCTTCCCTGCACTGGCGGATGAAATGAGCTAGCACACAGGGTCGATGGCCACATCCAATCCAATTCCCAAGGACATATCCTCCGGGCAAACGGCAGCCACGCTGGCTGTGAGATGATCCCATTGTGTGGAAGTACGGAAGCAACGCACATTGCTGAAATGCCACCATGATCTGCTGGCAGGATGTAAGATTCTGTTCACGGATGCAACGAAAGTGGCAAAAATTCGGTCCCTTCATTCACTGGACTCCACTGACGCAATATCATGCCTGGCACCTTGTACCAGGCTTTCTCCCTCAGCGATGAGCGGAATTCCCTGGCGAAAATGACGTTTCTCACCACCAGGAGAGCAGCGGATATCGATCCTCATCGCAAAACACTGCCCCCCGAGTCCGGTCGCATTTTCAGGTACTAACGGCGACAACAGCCTACGGGTGATCTAATCAAGGGTGGCCCGGAAGACGGGACTGAGGCCACCGGGAAAGGAATCTTGCAAGATATATTCCTGCATCTTCCTGCTGTATATCACGCAGTGAGAATGTCGATCTGTGCTTTTATGAAACTGCGGGGACGACCAAATGTGCGGCCAATGCTGGCATACAATTTCAGTGGGGGCAGTAGCACGCCGTGTCCCCAATGAACTGATCCAGCCACACAACAGTTCCTCCTTCGGTCGACAAGCTCTGGTATCGACAGTGGGTTTCCTCTCCCCTGCTCCGGCAGTGCACAGCGAGGATCAGCGGCGTCTGTGATGGTGCAGACGACTTAAAAGCATTCAATCGTGGCATGCTGGTGCTGATGGTGCCACGCATGGTGAAAAGATTCCTTTCAAAACATCAGTTTAAGTCCAGCGCGGATGCGTCAACGGCTGGAGGCAGATTGGTAGCGGTCCCAGAATGCTCAAATGCACAAGAGTCTCATGGCGAGACAGCATAGTCAACACGCTGGTACTTGGTCCAATCTGCGTCCCTCGCCTTGTAGCATTGAATGTGAATACGGGAGCCATATGGCTACCCATGGCTACTTCATGCATGGTGGGCATCACAAAAGACGCACACAAGCAGATATCTTGTAAGTGCAGCGCCGCAGGATTGGTGTCAGTCAATCAGAGGGTCGATGGACTGCGGGACTATTTGGCGCACCTCCAAATAGAACCATAACAGCCGCACTCAACAGGGTCGTCATCTTCCGCCTTTGCCGCCGCCTCGAGCGCGTTGGGGTTGCAGCACTCACTCACGACCTTGCCTCCCGCACACCGCGAGGCACGGACGCGACCAAAGTCCACGAGCGACGACCCAGAAGCGTCGGCTGCGCCTATCCCCTCGGCGGTCGCGCCTCCTCCACTCTGAGCCTCATTCGCCCCGACGACATTTGTGTAGGAGTCAGAATCAGAAACCGCCATCGCCTCGGCTTCACACATAGCAGATCATCCGCACGTGAGAACGCACTGTGGGCTGGAAAGCCCAAGGGCGCCATTCACTTGCTTCGCGATGGCTGTGCGCCACATGCGAACATCGAACGCCTTACACGCCATGTGCCCACCAGACCTGCTTACCTCCGAACACAATGGCGTAGCCCTTGGCCACTGCGGCAGCGATGGCTTGGGCCACAACGGCGGCAACGGACGTCTGGTGTGCTTCCGCCGACCCTCCGCTGGTGGTCGCGCTGCTGTGCGCCGTGGCCCTGGCCTTGGCGAAGGCTAAAACGAGCGCGCGGCCCAGCGCCAGGGCACGCGCCTCGTTCTCGTACGTCGCAGCTTCTGCGAACGCGATGGCCACCGCCTCTGCCACGACGTGGTCCATCGTCTCGGCACACGCCTGGGCGTTCCCCGTCGCCTTCCCTTGTCCCTCCACGCGCACCATGACGCCGGCCTGGGCGTAGGCCTCCAAGTAGATGCGCGCTACGGCCATCGATGTGGCTTCCACGTCCGCGCGCGCCCAGCGGGGGCCGTGTGACCTGCTCTTGGCTGCGCGGAGCCCCTCGCTGATTGCAACTGCGATGGCGCTCTCGGCATGGGACACAGCCTGAAGCAAGCGTACGGGAAGTTCATCCCAGGGAGTGGTAACCAGACGGGCAATTCATTGCAAATAGCGGCGAGTTGTTGCGTGACGGTGAACAGGCCTTGTTCGCAATTGCCACCGCCGTGCGGTTTGGCGACTTTCGCGCAGGGGCCTTAGGGCGACATATATCTCCAAGTAATTTGCGTGACGCTGCACTGGAGTCCGCAGGCTGGAAAGATAGGCGAAATGCCGCCATACGGGATGCCTCCAGATGTGCTTGACAGATTTCTGGCTCCCAAGACCTTGGTCCCCAAGTCCCCTTACCCACCATTGCGAACGAGTGGGCTTCCCCGGACGCCTCCCCTCCAGTCGAGGAGACGATGACGGACGCCCTGTTGGCAATGTCGTGGCAGCTCATGCCTCCCGCATACGCATCGGCGCCCGCTTTCGCCTCTTCGGCGCCTGAGGCCACCGCGGTGGCCGACGACTTCGCGTCTCCTTTGTCAGTGGCCCTGGCCGTGGCGTCCGCCTGAGCGACGCCGCCGTCTTTCGCTGTGGCTGACGCTCTCGCGTCTGCACTGGAGTCACGGCTGCTGCCCACGGATGTTGACGAGGAGGCGGCAGTGGCCCCGCCTCCCCCATCCTGCGGCTTCAGCTCTGGTCCAAGGAACCAGTCGAACCAGCCTTTGCAGACAGCAGGCGATGGAGTCCCCGTCAGTGCGGTGTGCCCTTTGTCATCAAGGGATCAGCTGCTAATCTTGCGGAGGATCTGTGTTTTCAATGAACAGCTGGGTGGGGAGGAAGAAAATGACCATGAGGACGAGTGGCTCAGCACCGTGGAACGAGCCCCAAGCAACTGAAAAGGACAATTAACAAAATGCTGAAGTACAGGGAAGCACCCGTGTTGTCTGAGTTGGGAATTTAATCAATAACTGCAATTGAAGTGATTCCATACAAGTGGAGCAACCAAAAAATGGGCCGCTCAGAGCAGACATTGGCAGTTGTTCCCTTTGCCCCCATGGAGCGCGAGCGGAAGGCCGCACTGTAGTTCCGGGAAAGGGGCAGCACAAGAGTACGAAAGAATTGGACGAGAGTTTATAATCACTGTTCAAACACAAACTCAAGCGACAACGAGCACCGGGGGGCGATCGAGCCCTCGTCCTCACGCGTTCCAAGAGTTTCGAGGCGAGGTCAGGAGACGCACCGCGACGGCTGCCAGGAGAAGAACGACGGCGGCAACACGCTTCATGTTTCCTCCACCTGCAATCCAGCACAAAGGGGCATCTGGTGAACAATAGCAACCGGTGAAACGGCACCGCCTCGCGAACAAACCAGCTAGCGTGCCAACGAACGCCCTGCGGATGGCCATGCTGTTGTACCAGTGGCGCTGCTCTACAATGCCTCTCCATTGGGCGCGATCCGCCACACACTTCGAAGCCTAGCAACCGCCGTAACGGACAGGGAGCACCCCCATCAGACAACAACACAGATTCGAAGTAATCGACAACTTTCGCTGCAGCTTGATGCTTCGTGATAAATGTTTGCACGAGATCCGGGGTTCGACCCCGGGCGCAGCGGGGCAACTACGCCCTTGAGGAAGAACAACTCGACGATAGATAAGTTGCGTTTCCCGCGCAGTGGGGAAACCTAATCCCAACCCTCAAACGACCGCAACGTTGCTGACCATCTCGCTGCCGATGCGCCCCAGGCCATCAGGCGAACCTTGCACAGCCCATACAACAAGCCGCACCGGCATGGTCTTGGACGCGTCCCGCGTTCAAATCCAAGCGGTTCCTAACGCACGTTCGCCCAATCGGCGTCGCCTCAGTGCAAAGCAAGATTCGCGCCTATACGCAACGCCACAAGCCAGAACCATGGACCGAACGTCAGTTGCGGCTGGTAGGATGCCATGGCACGCGATGCCCGCAGCCTTTGTGCGCATCCATCCTTTCAGCGCCCAACGCGCACTGGCCTCCCGGTGAAAGGGTCAGCCCCCAGCGTCCCACCTGCTCTCCCTGCGAAGGCCAGCTTGGGCTCGGCTTCAACACGGTCGTGCAGTCGATTGGCTTCTCGCCGTGCGCGCCTGGCTCACGCTTTGCTGGGCTTGGACCGGCGCTGTAGGTCCGACACCGGCCCGTGTGTAGCCATGCGCCCCAGGATGTCCTCTGGCAGGGCAGTTGTCTGTACAGTCCGCAGTCAGTACTTAAGCCCGGTGGCGGGGTTCTCGATGCGCTTACGGACCTACTCCAGAGTGACTGTCCTGAAAGGGTGCGCTGGGCCCATTGTTTACGTGTCACGAAGACGAGTCAGAGTCAGGCCTGACTGGGCCCTGACTCGGGGTCGGGGCCGGTATCCCTGACTGAGCCTGACTCTGACTGACTCTCCCTGACTCTGGCCCCTTGACCCCGCGCACCGACGCTCGCTGCGCCCAGGGGCCCCCTCCTCGGTGCCTCTACCCCCAATGGCGCCCGCGAACGACTCCGTCCAAACCCGCAAAGCAATGCGCCTGCAGGGCGATGGGCTGCTGGCACCGGCGCCCTGAAATCGGGGACGCCCATCCTTGGCCTGTCCCCGGACGCCCATGGACCTTGCCGAGGGGGCCTTCTTGGAAGTGGCGTCGCCCGGCCAACGAGGAAAAACATCGAGCACGGTATTCGTGCGGCATTAGAGGATCAAGGAAGCTGATTCACTGGCCAAATGAGGGGCCATCCTGATGAGGTGAAACACCGTTGGGCGGCTCGGTTTAGGCATCGGAAGGATGGGGTCGCTGTGCTCCGATGTTTCTCGCATGCGCCTGGTGTGATTGATGCGGCGCTGGCTCAGGTTGAATGCCGCGAATCGCGCGGCCGTGGCTGTCGTGATTGTTGAAACGATGGCAAGGGAGGGGGGGGGGGAGCTTTGCCGGGAGGCAATCCGCGTGGGCGCGAGGGAGGGGGCCGGAGGGACTGGGCAGCGATCAGACGCGATTGATGTGGCTGGCGCTTGGGGGCGGGAAACACCCAGCATCCTTGTGCTGAGAACCACGATTGGTGCTGACAACCGACACCAATATCCTGACTGTGCTTGCCATTTTGTTGTCTCACATCAGCATCAACAGCAGGCACAGTGTCTGGGCAAGTGTGAATGTGCAGGTGGCTGTGCACAAACACAATAGGCAGTGTCTGTTGCCCACGACTGACTGACTGCACTACTGGTTGTGCAGTGAAATGGCCATGTGGTAAAGCCAGATTGGCGATTCTCTGTACCTCACAATTCATATAAGGCACTCCCCCTTGTCTGGCAAAGCCATTCCATCAACTTTGTCTTCACAACCATGCTCATCTGCTGTGTGCAGCGACAAAATGTCCACAGAGCAGTTGTTGAGGTGCAGATGTTGTATCACATACGTGTTGCTGTGTACAGCCCCAATGTGTGGAGTCTTGGCAGCTGTTGGCACCTGGGACTCTATCGGAAGGAAACAAACCTTGAGATGTGAACTCTTAGTGCTTGCACGCTGCAGGTGATCGTCAGGAAGGGGCTTGCTGATTGACAGGCTGGGTGCATCGGAAGGTATGCAAAGGATGCATGTGGCAAGAGCATTTTACCTTCACAGTGTTCGCAGCTCAGGAGGCTCTGCCTCTTGCCTGCCCTTCTCAGCATGCCAGTGGTGGTAGTGGAGGGGTGCAGGAACTGGGTTGAAATAGCCAGCACAGGATAGTTTTGGAGCCCCTGCTCCATGGAATACTTGTGTTTCTGCTGGCCTGAAAGGGTCTGGAGCTCCATTGTTGTAGGAACATCGACTCATGCCATCAATGTCACTGCTGCAAAAGTTGGCACAGATGAAACATTGACAGATCGATGAGCAATCTTCAGCCTGTGGCAGTGCCATCAATCCATTGTTCCAGTAATTTCATGTCACAGTCCTATGCCGGTGGTCTTTCTGTTGCAACGCCATGTGTACCATGGTGGTCATCTGGGCAGATCTTGCTGCCCGTCCTTCAATGTATTGTGCCATACACCGACCGTACACCGAGTCCTGATTTGCTGCATCAAGAATTTGTTTCGTCTTGCCGCTATAATTCAAAGTAAGCATGACTTTCCAGGGCAGCCAGCCCAGCAATGTGCTTGCTGCTATAACCCACAGGCTGTTGAGACACTTCCGACTCGCATGTGCACCTTCAACACAGGTGTATTCCACCTAGTTGGCAGAATACGCTGAAGAGCGGACCCAAGGCATCAACCTGCCGACATGAACTCTAGCCCAATGTTGTGGAAGCGATGAACTCATGATGTTCAGGTAGGAAAGCACGTAATGGTGTTCACTTGCAACAAGCTTCAGTGAACAACAACACTACTTTAGCTACCTCAAAGGCACATACACCCACTTCATTGGTTACATGCGTTCTGGTGTTCTCAAGCTATCTAAAAGTATCCATTATATGTTGCTGTTTAAACATGAACAACTATCTTTTGATATGGCCAGTTGATGCCAGGGCCTGTACCACAGTTTGCAGGTACTGCTTTCAATTTAGCAGAGCGCTTTGATCTGATTCTGTTTGGTGGCATGTTGCATGTGCAGGTGTTGGGATCTATCCAGGCAGCTGGATGCAGGGTTGATAGACAACGTCCAGGGGGCAGTTTGTGGCGCCATGATCCACATCACCCTCCTCCTGGGAAGCCATTCCTTGTGCAAGGGTCAATAGGTACTGCTGAGATGCGGCCCACCGTTAGCTTGTGTGAGGGCAGCCATCGTCTTCCTGGATATGTTTCTAGTGGCTGGGCAACCAGCCCGTGTTGTTAGAACACGTTAGCCAATAGGTCAGGTGCGGGAAGCGCTTGGCAAGTCCGGGAAATGATTATAAGTGGGGCCAAAGGGCAGCGGAGGCTGCGGGACAAATGGCAATGCAAACGGGACACAAACATTCGAACGCAAGTTGGCGGGCATGCCAGATTGAGGATGACTCACTCAGTTTCTGGCATGACCCTTGAGATTGCTGAGCGGGCGCCTATAAATATGGCGGCACCGCGCCCTTTTTGTAACCGTGAGTTTTCGCGTTCCTTGAGTCCCGAATTGGACCAACGAGGCTGGAGTTGCCGCCAAGGCTCCGCCTCCCCTTACAGCTTGTGAGATCGCCAGATCTGTGGTACCTGGTAGTGAACACCACGGGCTGCCCCAACCACAGACGGTTATGAGTTCAGGAGGAAGGAAGGTCAGCGACCCACTAGGCATTGAGCCTTGGATGCTTTTTTCCTTAACACTGCCCAGAATGTTTAGTTCATCTTCATCCTTTGGCTCACAGATGACAAGAACTGACACATTGATTTGGGATGACATGCTTGCTGCTAAGAGAGCCCCATAGGTTGCTGAGTGGTGTGCGGGGTTGGATGCAACCAACGGCAAAACAGGGTACATGTTGGTAGATTTATCAGTTGGTTGTGTGTGAGATGCTTTGATTTCTTTCTGGCTTGGACCCATGTCAACAGACGCCCCACAACATGTCAGTGATGTCCAACAGCTACGCTACCATGATACATAATAGTTGTGTCCCGTACTGAGAAGAAATCGATTTTGGAATGGATTACATTTATAATGAGAAATGGGAAGTACTGGACAAGCTGCCATAACTATCTCACATATCGTCAGTGCATGCACAGTACAGGGCG